CTAGAGTGCGTGGGATGGTGCGCTGTGATTGGTTGTTACTGTCTAGAGTGCGTGGGATGGTGCGCTGTGATTGGTTGTTACTGTCTAGAGTGCATGGAATGGTGTGCTGGGATCGGTTGTTACTGTCTAGAGTTCGTGGAATGGTGTGCTGTGATTGGTTGTTACTGTCTAGAGTGCATGGAATGGTGTGCTGTGATCGGTTGTTACTGTCTAGAGTTCGTGGAATGGTGTGCTGTGATTGGTTGTTACTGTCTAGAGTGCGTGGATAAGCATCCAGAATAACTCGGCGGATATCACATTTTGCGTAAAATTAAAAATTGACTTTTCAATACCGACTAGATACAATACTGATTTTGGCAGAAACTAAATTTTTTTTAAATGGCGTTTATCGCCTTTTGGAACCAAACTCTTCAAATAATGATGTATCAAAAAATTTACCAAAATGAAGTGAATTTATGATTAAAACAAGAACAAATATCTGCCAATGGGGTCAGAAAAATACACTTGATTTGAATGATCAACTCACTTCATTTTGATGCAGTACCGTTTCTAGGCATAGGCGAGCTGTGGCAGTTGATAAATCATGTTGTTCACGCGTTAACGAGTAGCAAATGATTAAGTAGCTGCATTGATTACTTTTATGCCACTGATCAGGCTTTTATATGTAGTTTGGGGTAACAAAGAGTTTTATAGGTTTGACTGAAATAATAATGCAATAACTGACACTTTAAATCAATGTTTCAAGCAACAACAACGAAACAATTGAATAAAAAACAGATAAAGACAAAAAGTAGCCATTGATAATATCTAAACATGTATCCAAATCTAATAAAATGAATTTATGTGTAAATTATGTACAATGTCTTAGGGATAGTTACATCGGGCTATACAGGCATCTAGTGGCAACACAATGATATTACAGATACTAAATTGTGCAAAATGTTTATCTTAACAGTCAATTTACAAATAATGCATTCAGATTTGTGGAACTCAATGCACTGAATCCCCACAAATTAGTGTCGTTACTATGACAATCAATTTGAATGTGACAAGCAACTGGTGTCTGAAAAGAATATATATATATATATATATAATTAATAGGGATTTCACCTAGGGTGTCAAATTGGCTAGAACGGTCCTGTTTTGATGTATTTTGATACAATAGTTTTCATACACAAAACCTCTTCTGTCGTTTTGCATCTAAATGAATATAGATTTCAAAAAATTTAAAAAAAATCAGGTTTTGCATTGTATGTATAGCAGTGTTATTTTAGTATCATTGATATTCTCTTATTAAAATTTTGTGTTTATGTTTTATATATTTATTTGTTTTAATTTGTCAAAGTTTAGTTGTTTTTATTAGATTCGATTTTTTTAAAATTATGCCTCTATAGTTTTTATGAATTTTGAATTCGTTTTTAGTTTAATATTTACAGTATTCGTTTTAATTTGAGTTAATTTACGTTGGTTAAGTAAATTTTAAGTTACAGTTTTTTTTTTGTTGTTGCTGTTTATTTTTGTCGTTTTGATTAATTATTTATATTATAACATTTTCATTAAAAAAAAATTATTTTATGTTTTCATTTTCATTTTAGTCAAAGTTTGAGTAATGTTGTTGTTTGTTTTTGTCTTTTTTTTTTTTTAATATACCATTGTAATTTTTATTCATATCTTGGGTTAGTTTTTATTTTTATATTTTTCATTTTTATTTTAATTTTAGTCAAAGTTTTCGTTATTTATTTTTTATTTTTTAATGTGCCTTTATAGTTTTAATTAATATTTTGAGTTGGTTTTAGTTTTTATATTTTCCGTAAATTTTACGTTAATTTTAGTTTTATTTTAGATTTGTTTGTTTTTGTTATTTTTATTCATTTTGATAAATTTTTTATCTTGATTGAAGAAAGTTGAGATATTTGTGCTGGAAAACAAGCCTGAAATACTGAGGAAGACAGCGTTCATTCATGTTCAGTCAGTCTGCCAGAGAAGCGCGTTTGCTCATAGCAGCAGGTCAGTGTGTTTCTAGTGTTTAATGTGCTGACCTCTGACTGTAAACAGTGATATTGAATGTGAGGGCAGCGTGAAGGGAGTCGTGATGTTCTGATGGACTCCAGATGCTCCTGGTGGCTCCTCTTATGAAATAAGATGATGCTTTCATGCTGAACTCGTCTGTAAATCTGCGACTCAAGAAAACTCTTCATTATTTCTGACTGTAGAAAGAGTCTGAATGTGATAGAACCAGACGGACTGCACGGGCTGACAAAAAGTGATATCCGTCCTCTGGATTTTTGGAGAAAGGACAAAAAACATGATTTTCTTCCTCAGTATTGTTGTCTTGTTTTTGTCTCCAGTACAAATATCAAAGATACATTTACTGGAGACACAAAATAACATTGGATATTAAGTCAAAATTGGATACAAAACAAAATTAAGTGAGTTTATTATTAAAACAAGAACAAATATCTGTATAGAACGTGTTAAAATAATGTTAATGTTTCATTGGCAGATATTTGTTGTTATAAACTCAATTTGGATAAATTTCTCAGAAAACAACACTTCTTATCCAATGTAATTTTGCATCTAATGTAAATGTATCTTGATTTAAAAATGTTTTATAATTTGTATCGGAAAACAAGACAAAAAAACTGAGGAAGAAAATCATGTTTTGCATTGTTTCAGTGTCATTGATATACTGTAATAGTTTTTGTTAATATTTTGTATTAATATTTAATATAGTTTTTATTTTGATAGTTTTTGTTTTTAATTTTAATTTTAAAGTTTTGGTAATT